AAGCGGTAAAGTCGCTGAACACTGGTAGTTCGGCCCGAGGTTCGAATCCCGCGAACGGGCTGGCTGCATGGGCGTTTTCGTGGTTTTCCCCATGTGTAATGTGTATACAAGCTAGTTTCCCTTAGAAAGTCCTCCACGAAGGCATCCCTTCCCTTAGGCAGATAGCCCCTGAGGCTTTGCCATAATCACACACACACATTCAAATATGTTATCCACAGTACCATCAATCAGTAGAACTGCATCTACATAAAGCAGGTAGCCACACATCAAAGTCCACTGTTAATTTCCATGAAAAAATGAATATCAAGGCTCTTCATTTATATCCCTACTAAATCTCCTGATGTGTCACCCATGGATTTTTACTATTTTGGACTTTTAAAAAGCAGATTGTCCAAATGCAAACCTTGGACTCTGGGATGCTGTTCAAGAAAAATAGGATAAAATACATCTTCCAATACTACAAAAGACATTATTTTTTTAATTTCAGTGTAAAAAGATAGTGAAGAATAAGGATTATCAAATAGAACATTTAAAACTAAAATTTTTGGTAAAATATTTTTGTGAGCACAATGAAAATTGCCTACAAAATGTACAAACAGCCTCTGTATATCAAATTAATAATTCTAATTGATTATTATGTATTTACTTAAAATTTAAGAATATTTAAACAATATTATTAAAAACTTGTTAATCGAATGTTTAAAATAACTCATTTATTTTATCAGCCTTGCATTGAAATTGCAGTGTTAACTAAAATTTTTCCTTTTGCATTGGTGGCATAGCTAGGGTGGGGCAAGAGGGGACATCCATCCCAAGGTGCAGCATCCAGGGAGCACCAAATTGATGATATACATTTCAGAATGAAATGTTTTCCTTTCTTTGAACACAGAAAGGGGCACAAAACCTTAAAGTGTCCCCGAGCGCTGAAAACCTTAGCTATGCCTCTATTTTGTATCCTTCCTTAGCTGTCAATGCTGTCTTATATTTGTGTATAGATTTATTATATTAATTATAAAGAGATCAGTAGTTCAGTTTTTAAGCTTATTGAACTTAATATGGGTTTAATTTCTTTTAAATGCATAATTATTCATGGAACAAGACATCAGGTGCTGCAAGAAAATGATAAATTTTACATTTATTCCATACATTCAAATCATTAAAATAAGATGAATTCATAGGTTCATAATGCTGCAAAGTACATTTGGAAATAATATGTCAAGATTGTCATTGTTAATTGTTGTGTCCTAATAAATAATCTGCCCTACCAGTTAGGGCTATCATAGCGTATGGGCTTGCTGGGCACTTGGCCAGGTGCCACATGTCAATCCATTTATATTTCATTTCTGTGAGCAGCTGGCACAGAGCTCTTAAGCCTACTGGTTTGCCCAAAGGTCCATAATGCTGTTAAAACAACATTGCCACCAGTGGCTAAATGGTTAAGATTATAATTAAATACTGAGTTCGAACCTAGTTTAACTGCTGCTAGCAGGCTAGCGGCATATTTGGTTTTCGTGTAGCTTCCCTGAGTGTAATGTGAATGCGAGCCAGTTTCTCTGAGAAAGGTCCTTCATGAATTTATCCTTTCCCTTAGGCTTGAAGCCATTGTGCAGATTGTCATATTCAAATATCCTAATCTAATAAATAATCAACCCTTATCCTTTTCAGTTTTGAATTTATATGATAAGCTTAATCACTATTGAATAAAATCCACTGATGGGAGCACATGTACAGATATAGTCAAAAGTCGTTAATCCAGACTCGTCGGGACTTCGGCGATTCCGGATTATCGATTTTTCCGGATTATAGATAATCAGTTTAAATCTCGTAAGATGGCATGTAACAAATTCTAAAGATTAAAAATATGAAATCATAATTTATGAAATCAAGAACATATTTATGAATCTAAAGGGTATCAAAATTTACAAAAAAAGAAGCTTAATATTTATTTGTTTACCTTTATTAAACATTTCTTTCAATGTAATGTTGTTTAAGTTGCTTTGTTTTTATGTGATAATACTTTCTTCTTTAATTCCTATAAACAGACATAATTTCTTTGTTCAGTTACATTGTCCCGTAAGTCTTGGAACCGCTGTTTGCCGAGAATTACCGACTAACTTGTCAATCGAAATTTTTTCGTTTTCACTAACCTCTCTGTCACTTTCTTCATGTCTTTATCCATTTTTTGCAGCAATTCCACTTTTTGTTTGACAGACATCGAGACATACTTTCGTTTTGTAGATCCTTTGGGAGCTCCAGAATCGGAAATTGACATAATCGAAAGTTCAAGTTTACTTTTATAAAATTGCCCTTACAGTCTGCAAAAAATAATAAGCCGCATCCAATTCGAAGATTAAGGAACAACGCAGTCATCAACATTAACTGAAATAGATAATTATATAATTTTAGCTTGCACCGTCCGTTATACATTAAACGCACACGTGAAAACGTATTCTGCACTTGCGCACACGCATATGCGCGTGCGCGTAAAGGTCTTACGTTCACGCGTAAACGCCTATGCGCATGTGTCAACGCGGCACATGCGCAGAAAGTTTTTAGCTTTGAGGTCCGGATTATGGGTGTCGAATTAACGACTTTTGACTGTACTTCATATTTCATTTAAAAAAAGGTAGAACATTGAAGTATACTCGCAGAATTATAATTTGTGTGTTAATTGAAAAAATTATATAAAATAAATGCAGTCCAAGAACTGTGTTTCATTGGCAGATGTAAAGCTACAACATTTTTCATTTTAGAAATTTTTTAACAGGTCAGAGATATACTGAATTAAGTTCGAGACAATTGTAACAGACTGAGCATTTGTTATAGAGTTTGGATTTTTTTCATTACTCATATCTGGGTTTATTATGTAACTTTTCAAATTTTTAGTAGCTCTGCAGAGGACTTCTTAATTATTGAAATGGCTTATAATATCTGATTTTCTTCGTGTATATTGAATTATCAGTTTTTAATGAAATTGTGTTGGTCAAAGAAGCGCCATGTTCCTTTGTTACGACTAGACCTTCATACAAACTGGTTTTCAGTAATACTCTGATCACTTTCCAGAATTGAAAGAAGTATACAAAAACAAAATGAAATAATCAGTGGTAATTATGTTGCATAAGTGTGTTTGGTATAACTTTTAATATCAAAAGATCTGTTTGTACTCTTGAGCATATGAAAGTCGTATGATAAATATGTATCCTCAAAAATATATATTTTAAGGATGCAGAATAAGTTTGTTTCAAAGAAATTATTGCTAATATTAAGGTTGCATTAATAAATCAAATTAAAAATGCTCTTATCTGATAAAAGATTTTTAACTGCTGCATAGAAATGCTGGTAGAACTCCTCCTGGAACTGACGTTCTTCTGGGGCTTTGGCGAAGAGGTGAAATAGTCTAACAAAACAGATTTCCTAAAATGAAACTTCTATGCTTAGGTACTTAAAAAAATTCAACTACTTCATGACCTGGCAACATTAATGCATATATTATAATACTGTAAGATATTTCCCTGTTAGAGGTTGCTAGGATATTTTGCCTTGAATGTTACTGCTGAAAACCTAGAATCAAACAAATGTTCATTGTTTAAAGTTTTTTGTTGCCATAAAAAGAATCATTGGTCTGTTTTGTATGCATATAGTAGAAGTGCCATCAGTGTCTGTACTATATATTCCACAATGTGAGTGTAGCAAATGCCTTAAAAATTGCATGATTAAATAACTAATTTTATCTAAACTTATTATGCATGACTACAGCACTATTAAATGGAATTTTTTATCACTGTGTGTCTTAATAGGAACTCCCCTCCTCTATAGGGGAGCAGTTGAGCCGTAAAGCTACTGAACTCTGCTAGTTCCAACCTGGGTTCAATTCCAGGTGAATAGGCAAACTGCATGGCATTTTCATGGTTTTCCCTATGTGTGATGTGTATATGAGCCAATTTCCCATAAAAAGTCCTCCACGAAGGCATCCCTCCTCTCAGGCAGATTGTGCTCACATGCTTTTCCATAATTAAAATAAACCAAACCCCATGCGGAGTGAGGCACGCCAGCAGCTGAACTGTAAAGTCGCTGAATACTGATAGTTCGGTCCAGTGTTTGAATCCCAAGGAATGGGTTGGATGCATGGCCATTTTCATAGTTTTCCCCACGTGTAACGTGTAAACGAGCCAGTTTCTCTTAGGAAGTCCTTCATGAAGGCATCCCTCAACTTAAACAGGTTATACGTGTTTAAGAGGAGGGATCCTCAAGTGCTTTGCCATAATCAAATAACTCTCATACAAAGCACTTAAAAATAAATGACATTAGCACTGGCATGTTATTAGATTTCTACATAGGAATCCTAAAGAATGATTTGAATAATTAAGAAGGCTGATGATTTATTAAAGGATTTTTTTTTTAAATTGCATATTATAGAAATTAATATAGCCCATGCATATCCCTATGGCTGTTTTAAAATATTAATATTTCATACTTTTTTGTATCTTTTTTAATAATTGATCAAGGTACTTATGTCTTATCTAATGCCAGGAGATATGGTAGGTGCCAAGAAAACTACAGCAGTGATCTCAGTATTTGTTACTTTGGTTTGAATAAAATAATTTCAGTGATGATCTGGTCGATTTCTTTTTATTATCTCTGATTAAGTACTGTATCTTTTTCAGTATAATTCTCTCTGGGTGGGAGATGGAGTTCATTGAGCAGTATGATATTCATCCATTGCTCTGCGTTTAAATCTCATTATTTCTGGACATCTAACTTCGTACTTTATATGAAACTTCACTATTAAGATTTAAGAGTAATCCCTGTTATTCTTGTTCTATACAAAGTGTAGTGATGTGCTTGTAATTGGCAGAAAGACATTTATTTGCAAATGATTTTTATTTTTAGTGCCTACTGTAGCTCTAGATTTCAGGTAACCCATAAGTATCTTGTCAGATAACATAAAAAAAATTTAAAGTGGTTCACTGGAACAAAATTGTTTTCTATATTTTGTCTAGATATGCTGTCAATTCTATTTCTATTCATCCATCTGGCAAGCTGGCATTGTCTGTTTCCAAAGACAAAACATTGAGAACATGGAATTTGATCAAGGGACGATCAGCATATATTACTAATATTAAGAAAGGTAATTATAGTTTTTATTAATTTTTTCAGTTTTTGAAATTTGTAAATTAAATAATAATGTGTTAAAGAGATGAATTATAGTTGCAGAATTAGTGCGGTGGTCTCCTGATGGATCTCATTTTTTGGTAGCATTCCGCAATGCAATTGATGTCTACTCTGTGGAGGTAAATACTTTTTATGAATTTAATTCTAAAACTGCTATTAGTAATTCTGTTATGTTAGTAAAATAAATAATAAGCTAAATGAGCTGTAAGAAGAAAAATAGTATTTTTCAGATTTTAGCTCTAAAGTGTGTATGGATTTATATATGTACTTTTTTTTTATTTGTTTATTTATTCTATTGTATTCCATTTTATTTTTAGTTACTAAGTTAATAATAAATCAGAAAAGATTGCAAACTCATTTTATAATTGGGTAGATTAGATATAGATAAGGGATGCTTTAATAAAGGATTTTGTAAGGAAAGCTGGCTCATATTCACATTGATGGAAAAATCTTAAAAATGCTTCTGTAGTCTGTTTGCTGGAGTCACTAAATGCTAGTAACGCTGGCTGAATTACTAGTATTCGACAGTATTATCCACTTGGTTACTGTATATGTTTAGACCTCTGCTTTAACTGCTAACTCCTGGAACCATAAAGACGAAGAAGACGACCTATCAGGCCTTTTAAATACAGAAAACACGTACTAAGATTTTTTTTTTTTTTTTTTTTTTTTTTTTGTTGTTGTTGTTAACTTGTTTATTAACATGCTACCCTGATGGTTCAACAACAGTGATAAAAACTTGCTAGCCTGTACTTGACCAAAATGTAGAACAAATGTTCTGGTCATATTAAAGTATTAAATACTAAGTAACATGTACCTAAATAAGTTTTGGCTTGTGCCTAAATACTTATGATACAAATTCAGATATATGATGAATGAGTCAATAAATGAGTTCAACAGCAGAGAGGTATTACTGGTCAGCAGTATCTGCGAAAGACTGTCTCCTAAACTCAAAAACTCAACATTTATGAACTAATTTGTACCCTAGAGGGAATGGACAATGTAGCACTGATGATGTAGGCAAAATGATAAGATAACTGTTTTAACTAACAACTGATGAGCCTCACTTTGATGAGCATTTCCTTTAAGTTCAGTTTGCTTTTAAAATTTTTTTAAAAAGTCTTAACTAGTATCCATTTTTAAGTAACCAAAAGAAATTCAAAGTTAGTTTATGTAATGATTGAAGACAATTGTACCTGGGAAACACCAGGCAAGTTCAGAGCAGTTTGGCAGAAGCTTTTGATTACTTGCAAAAAATTGTGTTAAAAAAATCAGCCATATTTCAAGAGCCATTCACCTCAGTCATAGAACATGACGGGTAAAAATCTAGCTTCCCACATTTCAACTAACAGGCTTAGAAATTGAAGACATGCTAATCTGATGGACATAAGCAACATTAAGATGTTAATATATGGTGTTTATCATTTCTTTTATATATTGTTCACTCTGCATGTTCTATTATTAAATCTCCATTCAGGTTAAACACACCATCATTGCTATCAATTAGTTTCATTAATTGGTAGACCGACCAGTGGCTGAGCAGTAAGCTCGCTGATTACAAGTTGTTAATCTGTGTTCAAATCCCAGTGAATGAGGTGGCTGCTTTGGCATTTTCATGTTTTTCTCCCATGTGTAACGTATAAGAGCTCATCTCCCTTAGAAAGTCCATCGTAAAGGCTTCGCTTCCTTGTAGATGGATCTCCCTTGTATATTTTGTCATAATCAAATAAAACCGAAAGCATTAGTTGGTACTTTGTGACTATCCACACCCCGACTAAAATGTCGCCGAAAAATATTGATGAGGCAGTACACTATATCATCAAAAAGTATTTATAAGGCAACTCAGGTATGCATGTAGCATCCCCCAGACAAATTTCCATTTCTCTAGATATTCTTTGCAGTGTAACTGCAGATTGTAATCCCTCCTATCAAAATTTCAATGTTTTAACATTGCAGTGGACCATATACTGCAGTTTTTGATGATATCTTGGATTTAGTTTTCAGCTTGCATAGAATGTAATGTGGCTCGCTTAAAAACATCAAGCACCTCTTTTTTTCTTTCTCATTTTAGATTTTGGTGCTGAGTTTGTTCATGATGACAAGCTCATGAAATTCTCTCTTTTTTTTTTTTTTTTTTTTTTTTTTTTGTTTTTTTTTTTTTTTTTTTTTTTTTTTTTTTTTTTTTTTTTTTTTTTTTTTTTTTTTTTTTTTTTTTTTTTTTTTTTTTTTTTTTTTTTTTTTTTTTTTTTTTTTTTTTTTTTTTTTTTTTTTTTTTTTTTTTTTTTTTTTTTTTTTTTTTTTTTTTTTTTTTTTTTTTTTTTTTTTTTTTTTTTTTTTTTTTTTTTTTTTTTTTTTTTTTTTTTTTTTTTTTTTTTTTTTTTTTTTTTTTTGTTTTTTTTTCTTTTTTTTTTGTATTTTTTTTTTTTTTTTTTTTTTTTTTTTTTTTTTTTATTTTTTTTTTTTTTTTTTTTTTTTTTTTTTTTTTTTTTTTTTTTTTTTTTTTTTTTTTTTTTTTTTTTTTTTTTTTTTTTTTTTTTTTTTTTTTTTTTTTTTTTTTTTTTTTTTTTTTTTTTTTTTTAACCCTCTTTTTTCTTTCCTCTTTTTTCTTCCATTTAGACTGATGAATGAAACTCATGAAATTCTCTCTTTTTTTTTTTTTTTTTTTTTTTTTTTTTTTTTTTTTTTTTAAGCAAAAAACAAGTCTCTCTATTTGTTGGGAGAACAATAGTGCCAAAAAACAAGAGGTCTGTGTTTATTATATGGAAAAAGAAGAATCAAATAATAGGCAACTCTTGATATATCATTGAAACAGATATGGAAGTATCTGAACAAATGCTTCTCTCCTAAGTCACCATATTCCGACTTTTTGATAGGGGTGCAGATAAGTCTAATAGATTTTGTGTTAAATTTCAGATTCTTTAAAGCAGGAAATTCTTAATTTAATAAAATATGCTTATAAAAAATAAAATCCACCATCATATAATTAAAATGTACTCAAAGTTTGAGGTACTGTCAATCCCTGTGAGTGACAACGTAATGAAAGTAGGCATGATGATGATTAGTGATGAAGTTTTAACAAAATCTGTATGTGATAAAAATTCATTTTATAATTTAAAAGCAATAAATATCATTGCTTTTGCACCTGAATTTTATATACAGTAGCAACTTCCAGCTGACTGCTTTGCATAATAAACTTTGATATTCCTTCTGTTCATTTAAAACTTTCGTGTTCTATCATAAATAGTTTCTTTAGACTAAATATGCAAAGTAATTTTAATCTTTTTTTAATTACTTTATATAGTGATATTTTAAGTTTGTAGTGAATATTTGTTTAATCTGGAACTATGAAAGAATGATTCACCAAGTAAAACTACCTGTAAGAAACCATTGATAATTGGCATAGATCTATGGCATTTGTTGGTTTCCTTGGAGTCAGTTTATAGTATCTGCATTAATATTATAAAACATTTTTCTTATTACCCATTTTTATTTTTCATTTATGTGCTACATATATCACTTGCATTAGTTTTATTTTGCATATAATTAGATTTTTATTTTTTGTGCAGAGTGCTGCTGTAGTGCAGACTATCGACTTCAAACAGAAAATATGTGACTTAACCTTTATAAAGGTAAGATTGTGCTCGTATTTATTATTCAAATAAACTGCATATCAATGTACTAAAATTGATTATAAAATGCTAAATTTCATTATATCATCAAAATTTTTGTTGCTTTTAGGAAGAAGAAGTACATTTTGTACACACAATTTTGAAATTTATCTGTAACTTCTAAGGCAAAGTGCTAAAATGTTTTATATAATTAATGTGTCAATATACCTGTGTTGATGGCTGGCCATAAAGAATTTGATCAGCTTTGAATTTATGTAAGGTACTGTCAGTAAAAAATGACAGTCATAGTTATAAGTTATCATTTAGGTTTTTTCCATAACATTGGGCTCGTTTTTATTCACTCTATATACTTGAACTGAAATATGTGTTGGTGTATAAGATTACCTCCAAGTGCTTCTCTTCCCTCAAAACTGCCTGTGGGAAAAGATGAAACATTAATAGCTTAATTTTTACTTTGTTGGAAAGCTAAATATATGTAATTTTAATATATTTAATGCATAACATGTTTTTTAGTTAATATATCCAGGCAACAAAACGATAATCAGCTTCCAAGAACATGGTTTTGAATATTTGGCTCGTTATTATCTCCACTCTGAGAACCTGAGATGAAGTATGTAACTTTAAATAAAGATATAAATTTGGAGTGCAACCAAGAGCCATTGGCACAAGGGAAAATACTGCATTTATTTAATGAAAATACTACACTACTGGTCAGGAAACAATTCACATTTCTTTCTCTGAAAAGCGTAGTAGTAGCTATGGTTATGTTATAATATTATTATTATAAAATCATTTTGCTGCTCCCTTCAAGTCTGCAACTTCCATTCAGATTTTTATATGGTTAATGCTTGAAATGTTTTTGTCCACTTTGAGAAATTTCAGTGTAGAATGTAGTATTCCATCCAGAGCTTGTAAATGAATATAAAGTTATTAAACAACTGAGGCATTTCCAGCAGAAAGCTCAGATCATAGACTTCACAGTTAGTAAAAAAAAAAAAAAAAAGGCATTCTATACTCAAGAATATTTTATTTATCTGGAAAATTTTGGAACTTGATTTGCTGATCCACATGTATTTTTCCTAATTTTCTGCTGACCATGAATGATGAGTTAAATACTGATATATCGTCTACCATCTGGTTGAGTAACATGAAACTTCTATGCAATGATCAGCTGTTTTAGTCAGTGTTATTCATATCCTAATAAATTATATGTTTTATAGTAATTTCAATATTCTATTTATCTGATTGTAAGCCAGACCTTTTTGTGAAGGGGGGAGGAGGCCAAAAGTATCTCAGAATTGGTATCAATATGGTAGTAAAGTAGTCACACCCTTTCCTGATGTAATCAAAAGTCTCGAGTACAGTTGAGGGCACAGAAGATGATGCTTTATACAGAGACAAAAACAACAACTTTGGTACATCATATGACAACAACTAAACAATTAAATAGTGTAAATTAATTTTTTAATTAAATTTATTTTTATTTTCATTGTTGATTTCTCTGGGTTGCCTTCAATCAATATCAGCTCTTAATCAAATAAATACAGTAGTTTGTGACTCCTGTGTAGCCTTCTCTGTTGCTGAGGGAGAGTGGCTTGAACATTTTTTAGTTTCATCACTATGGACCTTCTCATAGAAATATACAAACGTGTTGTAGCCCAGAACTGAATTTGAATACAAAGCCCAATATTTTTTCATATGATCTCCATATGATTTTGAATGAAGCTGAATTTTTTTTCGTTGTTTTAATTCTGATTTATTTTCTTTTTCTAAAACTGAAAAATATAAGGAAGCATAGGTAAAACACGCCTCAAAAGTGATTGTACCTGAAACATTTTTTTTTAATTTCATAAATAAAGTTATCATCTGCCACTTTTTTTTTTAATTTTTGCATTTGGATGATGTTTAAAAACTTGCCTGGCTTTATTCTTTGCTTGCTTACTTTGTTGTATTTTATTTAAAGTTTAAAAATGGGTCATAGTTGGGATGAAACTACAGTATCATTCGAAAAGTATTAATTTTTTATCATAAGGGGGAAAATCGATCTAGATATCGCTAAAATGTTAAATTTATCCAATTGTATGGTGCAGTATGTAATAAAATGCTTTAAAGAAGATAATTAGATCAAAAATAAAGTAAGAAGAGGTTATCCGGCAAAGTTAACTCAAGGTGATTAGATATTTATAGTTAGAAAATTTGTGAAAAATCCACATTTGAGTTCTGTAAACTATTGAATTTCTATCGAATTTACTGAAAAATTTTCTCAGTTTCACCTGAAATTCAAAAAGTACTCAGATCAGCTGGATTACATGGACGCTCTGCTCGAAGAAAAATTTTTGCGAGTACAGAAAATAGAAAGCTTATTCTTTCATTTTCAAAATCAATGGTAAATAAGCCCAAAGCATATTGGAACCATTTTTTATTTGCAGATGAAACCAAATTTAACATTTTTTGTTCTGATGGATATATAATTATAAAAATGAGGAACATAATCCCAAGAGCTTGGTTGAAACAGTAAAGCATGGCAGTAAAGGAGTCCTTGTGTGGAGGTACATGTCAGCATCAGGATTAGGTTATTGAGTATTTATTGATGGCATAATGAACTATGCTCTTTATTTAAATATTTTAAAATGCAATCTAAAATTATCCACCTAAAATTTAGGTATTGGAAACAACTATATTTTTTGCCAGGATAATGATCCTAAGCACACGGCCCTTATTATTCACCTCTGGTGTGTCTATAATGTCCACAAGTTCTGAAAACACCACCTCAGTTACTAGATTAAAACTCGATAAAATGTGTTTAGAGAGAATTAGAGTATGAAGACACAACATAAAAACAAACTAAAAACTAGAATAATGTAGGAACATTGATGCAGATATTACCGGGGAAAAAAAAAAAAAAAAAAGCTGGTGACCTCTATGCCTATATGTGTGAAAGCTGTCATAAATGCTGCAAGATATCCCATAAAATACTAACTAACAAAAATATTGTAATGTTTACTATTATGTGCAGATTTTTTTAACGTGTGCGAAGACTTTTGTGAAGTAACTTCTGTGTTATTTTTTGATTATTCCCCGCCCCCCCCAAAAAAATTTGCTATGTTCATAAAATAACTAAAGCATATTTGCTAAAAGAAATTCATTATTAAAATATTCTCATTCTCAAATATTATTTTTTATTAGTGAATAAAGCAATATTTCATTTAAACTCATAAGTGTATGAACACTTGGGAGCCAGTAAATTTAGTTCAGTATTGCATGCTACAGAAGGTTCAATTAAAATTCAGTACTTTCCTAAATAATCACACTGATTTACTTACCGTCCAATGTTGTGTATCTGAACACGTTCGAATATTTTGTTAATTGCAAAAAATTATTTTTTCTTATATCATAATAAATAATTCAATTAATTATTAATGATCTATCCAGTCTATACTTTGTAAAAGTCATTCAAGAGAAGGGTGTGTTGCTTCCTGAAGCATTTTTAAATATCAAGAACCTCCCTCTAACCTGTCAATGAACATTAACTCATTGGCCTCTGTGGCAAGCAGATGATGCAAAATGAAAACATGGCTGTGTGCATCTATATTTTTTCTTAGAGTAATAATTTTTTTAAAAAAGTGTCTTCTAATCAATTATATGATTTGGGAGATTATGTAATTGTGTGTATATGTATCATAGAGCATGGAATTATGCGACAGACAGAAAATATTGAAAAGTCTGAGATGTGAAAATCTGTTGATTATAGCCAATACGGTACAGTCTGAGATACAGAATCATCAGGACTTTGGCAATTAGGAAAGGCATTTGTTGCTGTCTATAAATTTTCCTATTTTTAGGGAGGTATGAAGCTGCAGAGATTGCATCAGAGACATCACCCCCTACAACCACACAAGGGCTGAAAGTTTTATTCTGGCCATCCTCAATCAATGCACTGTTATTGACCACAGCGGTGATTCCCCAGCGAGCAGAAGTGTGAAAAATAACATCCAGAAATCTCAGTTAGTGCGGAGAAAAATCATATTTTTTCCACACCTGCTGCCTCTTTGTAGTTATATTCACCATTCCTAATGTTTGTAAGAAGTGTGAGTGTGTGTGGTTTTTTTTTTTTTTTTTTTGGGGGGGGGGGGGGTCTAGAGGACAGATATTAAATCATTACAAATTTCGGACTTTGTATTAGAGCTTGTTTATATTATATTCAATACTGTATTTCAAGTTTCTTATGTTAAAATGTTTTTATGCTTTTCTAGGATGAAATAATTGCCGTGGGAGGGAGGAGAAAGCGAGGATATCCGTTTTTATGATGTGAAATCTGGAGAATTAATTCATACATTCAATGCTCATAAGAGCAGGTAATTGTATATATTCAGATACCATTTAAATAGTAAGACATTTACAGAAACCTTTATCTGAAGTCTACAAGTTTCTGAAAATTAGAATAATCAACTGGTATTGAGTACAGCAAAGAAGCATAAAATTAAAAATTCAGTTTGGAATTTGAGTAATACCTGTATATAATCTGGAATTTGAGAGCAGTTGGAAAATAATGTTCTAGAGCAGGGTTTCTTAACCAGGGGTGAAGGGAAGGAATGCAGTCAGCCTTTTATTTATCTATTAAGTATTTAGTTTTAGTTTATGAATATAAAATGTACTGTTATTCACATTTTGGTATTTATTAACATTTTCTACACTTTTTGTTGTTTAATTTATAAAATGCATTGAAAAATCATATAAATCTAGGTATGTATATCTAATTTATTTATTTATTTTTCAAACTTTAGAAAGAATGAGGAGGGAATCATCTTCTAGCAATGTTAAAAGGGGTGCGTGGCGCAAAAAAAGTCTCAGAACTCCTGTTATAGAATATATTAAAATGTGGCTGCATGTTTTATAACCTTAACAAAACTTTTCATAATAGGAAATGTTATGTGAGTGTTTCATTACTGCTTGAAGAAAGACTTTTTATCTGGGCCTTGTAGTGCAAAAATGTCCAGCTGACAAATGTTCATTATGCTTTAACCATTAAATGTTTTGTACATTTGAATGAAAAATTTGTACTAATATTCAAAAATGAATGAAATAATTTTCAGTGCTTATTATGATCTGCATAATTAAATTTAGTGAGCAACTGCAAAACATAAGTTTTAGTTTTAGCCAGTCGGTTTTCTTTATTGTATGAACAGTAGTTATTAATTTTATAGCACACTCAAATAAACTCTTAATTACTCCACCTTTTTACAGACATTCTGTGTAATTCCACATCTTCTGCAATATGAATTATTATAATTGTGTGTAAAAACGTATTTTTTTCCTGCATTGCTTATTAACATTTCATTGAAATGTAGAATTTTAGTATAAAAAAATAATAATAATAAATTTTAATACTAAATGCACTAATTTTTTTAAAAGAGAATTATTTTTTAATTGTAATCTTTGTGATGGTGTTATGATTTCAGGAACTAATTGTGTTGCTATCTAGTGTGCACGTGATGAAGTATGACTGGATCAGCTATACATGTTTAGCTCTCTCGATTCAATTTAATTATCTGTACACCTGAATTTGCAAATGGATGTTCTTAAATCTTTTGTTAAGTAATACCTGTATGTATTATAATAATATGTAGATAACAACTGTTATTGCAGTCTGTAAAATTATCAGGGTCATAAACTTTTAAATTTTAAATTATTTCTACATTAAGAAATTTTTTTTAATTATGCTACCAAAAAATGTAAAAATATTTATATCAGAGATTTTTACATTTGATAATATTTTATTTTTTGGATATATATAAAAATTTTATTTCATTTTTTATAAAATCACAGCTGCTAAATACTTTACTGTCTTTCTTTATTGTTATAGAAACAAGTGTTAATATAAATAAAAAAATTTCACTCTTGGTTGTTTAGATTTTGTATTTAAATAAAAATTCAAAAAAAATGCTGGTATTCATATTTAAGTTAGAAAAATATTGGGTAGTTTTTAATTTTTGTTAAGTTTATTAATAAATTTCCTTTTTAATATAATAGAAAATATAGGCTTTTTATGCTGAATTCCTGTTCTTTCTTTATATGATTTTGCAACAAGATTCAAGGAGTGGACTTTTAAAATAGTCGCTACTAATAAATTTACTCATTTAACATATATACAGCTTTCTAAATGTATAGATGCTTTTTATAAAAGCTGTATAAAGTTCTATAAAAGTACAGCTTTCTAAATGTATAGATGTATTTTATACCAAAACAAACTCCCCTTTATTACTTTTTCCCCTATTTTAAAATGTTTCACCCCCTAAATGTAGAAGACATTTAAAACAATGAAAGTTATGTATGTTGTCATTCTTATCATAATTGCATAAAATAATTAATCAGTTTTACCTGTTAGTTAAAAAGTGATTAGTTATTTTATGTTATCTATTATGTAATCACATGTAAAATTTAATCAAATCTAGCATGTAATTTTTAATTTACATTGCAGGATTTTTTATATTTTTAATGTAAATTATATATAGTATATAAATTTTATATATTGTTTTTATTTTAGAGTTAAAGCATTAGAATGTGTTTCTGTAAATTCAGAAACATTTTTAGTTAGTACTTCTAGTGATGGATACATAAAAGTATGGTACTTGGATGTATCTGAGGTGAGTTTATATCTTTTCAGTATTTATTAATTAGTGTTGAAATATATCTGGGCTTTATAACCTTTAATTATTTTTAATTGTGAAATACTGGCAATTAAGGAAAACTAAAAAATTGCTGATACATTTACAAAGAAAGTCTTAATTCTTCCCAATTTACATCCCTTATAATTTCTTGAAATTTTTTTTGTTAAACCATCAGGATTTTGTGAAAATGTGGAAGGCCTATTAAAATTTTAAATCTGTTTGTCAGTGCAAATCTGTTGACAAGGAGCATTTCATGTGCTTCACGTACTCACTTACATATGCTTCATTATTATATTTGTATGGCATCTTGTATCTGATTCAACAAAATTTGTGTTGTGAATAACCTTTAAATGATCAAAACCTTCAGCAAACCTTAAGCAGTCAAAGCTTTTTTGACTGTTTGAATAACCTGGAGTTCATGGCTTAATCTACTTCTTAATAATGTCTAGTAATGTGCTATCATTCTTGTTGTGAACTAATACCAAAAACAGCTAACCAAGTTCTCTCTTAACTCCTTGAAAGCCTGCTGCCTCTCAACTACATGCCTCACACCTTATATATCTACATTTTCCAAATTTACTTTCATTTATTTCCACTTCATAATACCACCTATTTTTTCCAATGTTAACTCTGTATAATCTAAAATGGTTTCATTAAAAAACCTCCTCCAATCCACTAATGTATTCAAAGCTAAAAAATATTCTTTTGAGTAGCTGTAATTTTTGTCTCTCTGGTAAGTTGATGTTAAAAACAATATTTCATCCATCCTCAAATTCCTGTTAGAGAATCGTGATCTCTGCTGAATTTACTTTAGTATAAAGTGACCTCAAGTTCCGATTTTGGCGGGGCAGTCCCGCTTTTTGGAGGACTGTCCCGCATCTCACCGATTTTTAAAAATGTCCCGCCTTTTTAGAAAATATCTGCATTTCTTATTTTAAATGTACTGTAAAAATATATTACCTATTATTTATTAATTATAAAGAACATAATATAATTTATTAATTATAAAGAAACTTAAATATAAAGAAATAAAAAATAACATACATAAACAAAAAAACACATAAATTGCATGCAGAGTAAACTAAATTAGGCGATGTAATGAATTAGATTTACTCGGTGGTGTTCGATCATTAACGTTACGTCTCATCAAGGAATATGTATTGTTAATGGAGGAACAGCTAGCATTAGCTGAAGGGCTATTTGCTTTCCACACTGTAAACCACAATCAAATTCAGATCAATTTATTGTATGTCACAAATGATCAAAACATTGTACGACAAAAAATTTGCATGTGCAAGGACAAAAACCGAAAGCAATTATTTGTAATGATTTTTACAACTATATCGTTTTCACAATTGCAGAAAGAAATAATTAGATTAAATGCACACTTATATCCATATATTATGATGCTTCCAATACCACAAAGATTCTAATATTATTTCCCACAATTGTTAAGACTTTTTGATCCAGAAACAGGAATTAGAATAAAATTAGATATTAGATTTTGTTTCATTGACGGGTGAAACTTCACAAATAATTTTGGTGACTCAATAAGTACTATTTTAAAAAAATAATAATTTGAACAATAAAATTATTGCCTATTGTGAGGATAACATTAATGCAAATTTTTGCGGAAAAATAGAAGAGGCATCAACAACATTTTTACAAAACTTAACGAACATTTGAACCAATAAATTGTTGGGGTAGCTTGTGCAGCGCACATTCTACACAGTACTATTCAAACAGCATCTGACTTCCAGTGGATCTTGAAAAGATTAATGCAAAAATTATTTGTATTTTTATATATATACACTGTACGTGTTGAAAGTTTGAAGGATTTTTGTGAAAGCACAGAGAAATCGAATATAAAAGAGTTATTGGTTACAGCAAAACACAATGGCTAGCTCTTTTACCAGCTGTAGAAAATATTTTTAAAAATATACGAACCATTAAAATTATAGTTTTTATCACAAGATAAATGTCCAAGAATATTGCAGCTCTTTATTGAAAATGACACATCACAA